TGTATGACCCTGGCCTGCTCATTGAATGTCTGCTGAATGAAGAAAACGGGGCAAAATATTTTTTGACGGTGAAAGTCCTGTAAACCGTAGGTCCTTTTTGGAGGTTTCTCCAAAGTTGGGCAAAAGGTCTGCCTCTGTTCATGGACAAAGGATGATGAAAAGATACCTCGCGACTGGCGAAACCCTGATGGAGGGGCTGGGCGAAATGTCTCTGCCAACCGATAATTCCCTCTCTTTAAAGAAGCCACTATCCATCCCGAAAAACGTCTCTGCCGCGCTTCCTTCCAGCTGCACCTTTCATCTCCTTTAAAACCGTCATGAGCCTGGTTCAGAGAAAGCGGATGGGAGAGATCATATCGGGAAGCTGCCCCCTTTCAGTAACGGGATTAAGTCTTGGTTTCCCCTCTGTGCAGGCCAGGAATTCAGGCTTCACCCTGCCCCCCCCCCCCCACTGCCCAGCATTCACCCTTGTCACCACCACAGGGGGGTCGTCCTGAAAATAAAATGTTTCGAGGCAGGAGTTTGCCTGCAAGGTCCCTCCCCCAGCCTATTCCGTCTCAGAGCCCTGGCACGGAAAAGGGCAACAGGGATCTGCAATGAACTGTTGCAGCGCAACGAGGCCCTTTACATTGCTTCTGCCAGCCAGCCAGCCCTCCCTACCTCCTCCTTACACGCAGTACCATTTGGGGCTCTGAACATGTTCTCCAAATAGATTCACCGCCCTTGGATAGATCTTGTGCAGTTCAAACGGAAACTTGCACTCTCCCTGGTTACTTTCTGCACACTGGGAGTACTGGGAAGGACGGGCGTCCTCGCCGAAGAGAGGGGGCTGCTTTGGGGGAGCAGGTCCGGGGCTCCTTAAAGCTGCCGGCAAAGCGGCCGAGCTGAGCCAGCGAGCAAAGGCAGCGCCAGCCAGATCGCGGCCTGCCCGGCCCGAAACCCAGCCATATGGCAGAGTCTTAATGAGAAGAGCTCTGGGGGACGCCAGCTCAGGGTGAGCAAAGCCGGAGAAGAGGCTCGCCGGCCCAGCTGACAGGCTGGCCGCACCCCGCCGGGCGAGTCGCGAGCACCTGCGCGGTGAGCCGGGCCGCGGGGCTGGAGCAGGCCCCGTGTCGACGGGGGGGGGGGGAGCTGATTAAACCGAAGCTCCAGGCAAGGTGACCTCTTTCGAGAGGGCTTCCTTCCAACCGGGAAAGGGCGGAGCAGATGGCTTTGTGACTCCCTTGGCTGCCCGATTTTCTCGCGTGAGAAATCGGCACATATGCCGAAGCTGGGCCCCTGGTGGGTGGGGGGCGGGGGCATTCGGCCTGGTTGTGGTTGCAAAGGCAGCTAAATAGGGATCCAGGTTTTCGTTGTTTTTGCCCCTCGGCGATCTGGAAAGAGCAGCATGGGGAGCTTTTAAATTCCGCAGCCGCAGTCAGAAATTGGATGTTCTCAAGACCTTCCCAGACATTTTGTTTGGACAGGCAGAGGTGATTCGCCACATCTTCCTGATAATATTATTATCATTCCTGAGTTCCTTTTCAAATCGATATATTGAGTGTGCCTTTGATTCTCATTAGACTGGACAAAAAGGGAAAGAATGAAGTGCCCCAACCGCCGGTCAAACTTAAGCCAGAAATCCTGGCTTATTAGACCATGATAAAGAGCGGTAGGCGGGCCGCACACCACAGGTTCTTTCGTGAGCGTGTAAAGAAGCTGGGCTTGGCTACCTCGCTGGTATATCAGAACCCAGGGTAAGACTGCTCTTGTGTCCAAAGGAGCAAAGAACACAAACCAACTTTGATCCGGGGTTTGTTGTTATAGTAGGCATACCTGGTTGCATGAAGCCAAAACCCAGGTTCAGATATGATATGAAGTCATCTGCACCTGATTTATGTACCTGCAGGTGATGCTCCCAGGTCCTGGGGCGGCCTGTGATCGTGGCCGCGCTCTCCGTGGTGCTGAACCGCCTTTGCACCTGGGCCGGCGACCTCCCAGCAGTGGCTGAGAGGGGGATCCGCTTGGCCCCGAGCCAGAGCCCTGAGGGAACAGTCTGTGGTCCTGATCCCGGCTTGGGGCTCGGGGCAGCTGCGTGAACGTTCAGGCTGAAGAGAGGGCACACTGCCCAGCTGCAGAAGGAGCAGTCATGTTTGCTGCATGCTCTGAAGCTTCATTCAGTCATTCTGAAGCTTCATTGTTTGCCCCAGTGTCTGCCACCCTGGGAATTCCCAGGACAAGGCTATACCACATGCCTTGGACTCAGCCAGCTCCTAGTCCTCGCTGCCTGCCCTCCCTTGGGTCCAGTGGCTGGAGAACTGGGCACGTGGAAGAAGTGGGCAGCTCCTCCGAGGGAGGAACTCGGCTGTAGGGCCTCTGCTCATGGCTGAGACAACGGCGCTTTCCGAGTGAGGCGTGGTGTGTCAGCAACACGCAGGATTATGAGAAAGGTGGGATACGAATGCGCAGATGATCGCGATAATGAGCCTGATGGAGAGAAGCATCACCTGTTTTGCATTCCACTGGGTTTTTCACATGCCCCTCTGTCTTGCTGGGCTCAGGAGGAGGAGGATGTTGCCACATGGAGAGGTGGTCAAACGAAGTCCTGAGTTTTTCTGAACGTTTGGCTCTGCCTAGGGCAGGCATTCGGTCACCCATGGTGGTGTGTGGCCGGCTTCTGCGTGGCGATTAGCCTTTCGATTATGCTACCTCAGTGGTGCTTGCCATGAAAGGGCGGGGGCTTAAAAGCCGTCTCTCTCAAGCCTCAGAAAGCAACCGCCGCGAACGAAGAGCTTGTGCTCCAATTTGCTTATTGATTTGCTTGCGGTGGAAATACAACGCCGGCTTCATCTCGACAGCATGGGACCTCCCAGAGAGGGGTGATCACGGAACACTGCGTGCAACACAAAATAAATCAAAATGTAGCCATGGCCTGACTTTGGAAATTTCACCCACCCGCCGCTTCTCCATGCTATGCTCACAACAACCCTGTGAGGTAGGCTATGCAGAGGGTCAAGGACTGGCCAAAAGTCATGCTGTGGACTTCATGGCTGAGTGGGTACTCCAACCCAGATTGCTTGGGTCGCAGTCCAGCATTCTAACCACTACACCACACTGGCTTCCCATGCAGAAAGTCCCTCCGTTGGCACTGGCTATCTGTGTAACACCCTGCCAGATTAAAATGATGATAACTTTCCCACCAGGCAAAATGAATATCTCTAAGTGGCAAAAAGCTACATCGCAGCTTGTTTGGAGGCTTATTGTGGGCAACCCGCCAGGCAGCACAGAGTTCTTCTCATTCTATTCTGTCTTCTTGTTGCCTTTTCTCCAAGACCGTCCAGAGTGGTAGGTTAGGATACAAAAGATCAGGGCCGGTCAAAGTTTACCCCATGGCTAAATGGGATTTTGAAGGTATGTCTCCCAAATCCTAGAGTAAGGAGCTTCCTACTGATTTTGGTAATTTGTTCTGAGAGTCATTTTACAATGCAATGCAATGCAATGCAATGCAATGCAATGCAATGCAATGCAATGCAAGAAAACACTATTTTTCTCTCTGGTTCTGTCATCAGCTGCACTGATGCTTTGGCACCTGGAACTGACACCGTAGCAACAGAGCCGTGTGTGCACATGGGCAGTCATGCCAGAGCCCTGTAATTTGGTACCTCGACAAATCTCTATTACTTAGCCCAGAATTACTTGCGAATTGGAACAAGCCTAGAATTAGCTGCCAGAACAGCAGCGAGGGAATGATTCATTATCTGGCTGCTGATTGGTTCTTGCATCCAGTCGGGCAGGCATCTGGAGATGGGGCAGACCAATGGATCGTGCAGCTGTGAGAACTCAGGCCAGCTCCTTTGCAAGGCAGCTGATGGGCCTCTTTGTCCCACCCCGTTTCCCTCCTGCGTCCGTCTCTGCCTGTAGCGGAACGGCAGAGCCCTGACTTGCACGCAGAAAATTGCCAGTTCAGTCCCCAGCATCTCTGGGGAGGGCCAGAAAATACACCTGGCCAGGACTCCGGAGACCAGCAGCATAACAAACCTTTCAAGTGTCTTGGACACCAGTTCCCATCATTCCCACAGGGCTTTGCTAATGGTCAGTGATGATGGGGACTGAGAGAGGGGAGGCCCACTAGGCCAGCTTAGCTAGTTCCTTAGTTTGACATCCTTCTTTCTTTCCCCAAATCTCCCATGCATTGGCTTCCCGGGATGATCGTGGGAGAGGGAGAAAGATGCCCCCTTTCTCTGCACCGATGTGGATCCATCTTGGCTTAAAAAGGGGAGAGGAGCTCCTTGGACTGGACTGAGCCCAACCAGGCCGGCATTCTGTCCACACAGGGGCAGCCAAAAGCAACAGGACCTGTAGGCATCGCTACGGAGTGGTCCTGGATCGCCACCCACATTTCCGGCCTCGCTGAAACGGGGGGCGCACAGCGCAGTGTGTGGGTGGGGTGGAGGTGGGGGCGGGAAGGCCAGGTACCCTGTGTCTGAACCAGCCGAGAGAGCAAACCTGGGCAAGCCGCCCACCGTCCCCAGCCCAGCAACAACCCGTGGCTTCGCAACAGCAGTGGCTGGAGACAACGAAAGAACTCGGTGCTCGGAGACCGAGTGTTTCTACGCAGAGTAGCCCCTGATGTTTCCATCAGTCCTCCTAGAGACACGGGCCTGACCCAGGACCTTTCCCAGCTCTCCCTTTTTATGGCACTCACCTTTTCCTCCCCATCCTAAATGTTGCCACTGCCCACAAACACTCGAGGAGACCGTTCCCCTTTCCTGCTCCTGCATTTCCCAGTTGGGCCGACCTGCAGTATCTGTGCCTTTCCTGTATTCCTCTTGGCACACGGCTCCATCATTAGACAGGCACGGGCGCACTGTGTAAACAGGAATGGATAAATTGGCTTCGCCTGGAATAAATCAGGCAGAGACGCCACGGGGTCTGAATAACAAAGAGGCGAGTGTTTTGGGGGCCCTGATGCTGCCACTTCCTCTGTATAATCTGATCTCCTCTCTCCTTCTTCTCTCCAGGGTCTGAAACTGATGGATCATAACGGCTTGGCTGACCCGTATGTGAAACTGCACTTACTCCCTGGTGCTAGCAAGGTAAGGCTCTCCTTCTGCTTTCTCTGCGTGGCAAAGACAAAACTGGATTTTCCCCTGCCGGGGATAAGCTCTTTTTCCTGTTTAAGGTATCGCTGCTCGGGCCATCTGTTCTCTGCTGCTTCTCCCGCTAATCTGGGTGTTGCAGGCTGACGCTTTGTCGAACGAGGCAAGCGCAAAAGCTGCCAGACCTCAGCAACTGTAGGAATCGCCCGGCTGGCTGTCCCAGACGGGGTGGCGAAGGTTTTCCCTGCGGCCCTATATAGGAGCTGGCTGGAAGTGACGGGAAGGGACATTTTGGCGGGCTGTGGGGAGAAGCGCCTGGCCCAGGGGTGCCAAGCCTTTCTCAGCCCAAGAGCTGAATGCGTCGGGCTGCCTTGCAGGGGCAGGTGAAGCCGGAGGCGGAATAGATGGGTCAAAATACCCCAGGCACCGGCACATTTTCTCTGCAAGCTTTCACAGGCGATCTCAGAGTGTTGGAAGCATCCCCGAATGAAGGGAAATCCACACCGAGCCAGGGCCCCCAAGCCATCTCTGGGGTGGGGAAAGGGGGGGGCAGAGGAAGGGGGCATAGCTTGGAGGGTCGGGGGCCATCTGGGAGCCCCAGTAGCTTCTGTACCCTGATCCTGTTGAGAAGAGCAATTCAGTGTTGGGACCAGTGATCTTAAGAGTGGTGGGCTCTCCTTTACTGGGATCTCCCAGCAAAGACTGGACCTGTGATGCTCTGGATAGATGCCCCCTCCCCCACAAAGACGAGGATTTTCCAAACTCAGAATGCTGGGAGGGCGTAATCATTTGCTCCTGCCACTTCCCTCTTGGATGGACGGACCCTTTCGGAGCAGTTTGATTCCCATTAGGAGAAAGCTGCCGAACGCGAAATCCTGCAGATTAGATCTGGCCCCTCGCGGGCAGGCAGGCAAATTCCAGGCGACTGCCGCAGAAGCTTAAATTTACACCAAAAACATTGTGTACCTTCCGCACTGAATTGGAAACCCGTTGTGAATTATTGGGGTGGGGGAAACGCACCCAGTCGCAACAGTCTTTCAGGTAGCCAGGACAGATACGGCTTTATAGCTCACTCCATTTTATTTTCCCTACAACAACCCTGTGAGGTGGGCTAGGCCGAGAGAGAGGGACTGTCCCAGAGCCACCCAACAGACTCAAACCCAGATTGCCTGAGTCCCAGCCCTGCACCGCATGGCTCTCTTTTTAATCCCGATTTTTATCCTAGCTGCCCCAAATTCCTTAATAGAAAGTAAATTAAGTATACAAATTACGGTAAAGTTTCCTCCTTGTCAGCAGCTCACGGTTTTGTCATTCTGGCTGTATGTGGCCTGAAACGAGAGCCTAAAATCCCCCCCCTGCTGCCCCCAGCTTGTTTTGTTTTGATTCTACAAATGGGTGCTTATTGATTAAGCATGTGGGAATGGGGAACATTGTGCGGGGTGATCCTAGCCTCTGTCTTTGGAAATGCCGTGGACTTTCAGCTCACGTGCCCCAGCCCCTCGCTCCTTGGGCTTTGCCTGCTAACTGATAAGGCGATTCTGGAATTACGCTCCAAGGTCACGGGAGAAACAGAAGGCTATAAATATCCCTTCTGGAGGGGCGCAGGGGGAGAGACGCCCGCAGTCTGGCGACGTCTGTGGCACTGCCTGTCCCCTTGCCGTTTTCGTCCTGAGGTCTCTGGGAGCTGTGTGGGGTCCCCCCTGGCTGTGACCCCACGCTGCGGCGCCGTGGGGTTCAGCAAACCACTCCTCTTCCTCACCAGCTCCACTGTGACCCAGCTGGGAGATTGTAAGGGGTCTGCAGTTTGAGGGGTTGGAGTCCACCAGGGTCTCATCTCCAGGATCTCTCCCCCGCCCCACTTTCCTGGCTTGTGTGAGGGTCCTTCAGCAAGGCAGTCTCACTTGATTCCACCTCCAACTCTGGTGGGTTCAGACAGGACATCCTGATGGTTTTCTGGGCTGTGACGATCTGGACAGTCACCACCAAAAAGCCCCTGCTGAGTGTGACAGGAATCCTTCCTTCCATGCTGGAAGGAACCTTCTACAAGATTCCGTGGCTTTTAGGGGATGTTCAGCAAATACAACGTGGAGGTATTTGCCCTGGATGCTCCTTGGGAAGGGCCCGATCCACCCACGCAAGAGAAAGAAGAGTTTGGTTGGTGTGTTTTTAAAAAAGGTCTTATTGGCATCTCATGCAAAGCACCCCTTCTTTTAGCACTTAGACCACAGAACCATGACAAATGCAATGCATGAAAAAACATTTGGCGACCGAGTCCTCGTGTATTGATTTCATCAGAACTCATTACCTTGAGAAGTGGCCTGAACACAGGGAACAAACCCTCTCGTATTACATCAATTACCATGGAAATTGGAACTCCGTCAGGCCCTCTTGGATTAATGGGAAAGCCCTCCCGAAACTCGGGGCGGATGGAACGCTTCTCTCGACCCGCAAAGCATCCATCTCCTTCCGCGACCAAGCCTCGCCTGCCTGGGAATGGAAGGATCAGAATTAAATGAATTTGGTTGCGATCAATCTGCCAAGATTCGCGGCCCGAGGAGGAGAGAAGATAGATGAGGTGGGGTGGAGGGGAGGAACATGAGGCCTGTCTGAAAATCAATGACGGTCTCCACCACTGGATTCGATCGTCGGCCAGGAAAATGTTCCTCGTTGCCCAAAAGGATGCTGATGAGAGATGTAGAGGGACTTTCCATTTGTGTTAAGGAGATGGATTTGGTGGTGGGGAAGGCCCAGCCCTCCCAACGGGATAAGGAGGCAGTTGATTAGTTGCTCTCCATTTTCCATCCTTTGGGAATTTTGGTTGCCCAAAGCTGGGCAACTAAACATCTGTTCTCAAGGGCCAGATTTCCATAAGTTGAGCGAGATGCTGTAGCTTAAAGCTCTTGCTGACAGGAACTAGGGGGGTATTTCAGTCTTCTGGCGCAGACAGAGGAAAGCTGCACGAGGCCTGGAAAACCACCAAAAGATTCGGGAAGGGACGGGGGAAGGTGGGGAAGCTCCGGGTGCCAGACCGTGGCTCTCCGTCAGAGGTTGTGCGTCCCGTGGGCCTGTCTGAACAACCGGGAGCCACACTCCCTTGCCACGAGCCAGCAGTCCCTGCGAGACGCTGCCTTCCCGAACGACACCGAGCATATGTTGGATTGCAGCCCGAGGGAATTAAGGCTTGGAGCGGTTTTAGTCGGCGGCTTGAGGAAATCTAAGAAAATACACACAGAGGGGGGTGCTTCTGAAGAGGAGGCAAGCAAGCTTTCTTTCCAGGGGGGGACCCCGTGCTTTCCCTCAAGGATAAAGCTTCACTGTTTCCAGTGCAAACTGGCCCACCTCCCTGCCCACCTGAGCTGGCTAAGAAAGTAAGTTTCTTACCTGCCATTGCCAAGCTCCACAGCAGCAGGATTGTCTCTGCAGCACAGCCATGTGAGCAGAATACTCCCGAACACCCAGGGCCGTCTGATCAGCATGATGGGCCCGGGCAAGGCAGTGTCCCGGGGCCCCTCCGACGACGACGACTCCTGTTAATTTTGGGAGCGTCCCCATTTTCCATGGGTTAACATGCACGGATCAGGGTGGGGCCCAAGGCAGGTGCCCCTCAGGCCCCTGCGGGAAGGCGGCCCTGCGAACATCTCCCTTAAACTGTTACAGTTGGCATTTCCAACGTAGCGTCCTCTTCCTGAGTGACCCAGGTGAGGAAGGGATCCCGGGTGCCCCCTGCTGAGCTGCCGCCACTCCTTCCCAGGTCCCGGGGGGTAGGTCTCCCCTCCAGATACAGAAACAGCAGTGCCAGAATCGCCCACAATCGCCGGCCGGTGAAGCCCTCCAAGAGTTCCCCTTCCGAGCTCTGGGTGCACTTTACTGCCTTCCGGGGGGGGAGGGGGCAAAGAACCCTCCCACCTGGACCCCAAGTTTGCTCCAGCAATACCCCAAAAGCAACGAGCCGCTCTTTTAAAGCTCCTTTGCAGTGTCTGGTTTGGAACTACGCTTTGCAGGCTGGCAAACCCAGGCCCCCACACCCTCTTTCCCATCAAGGGGGACAGAAAAGCGGAGGCCTTGTTTTAAAAAGAGAAAAGTGTGGGTGTCTTAACATGCCACAGTCGCTTTGCCTTCAGGCCCCCCCTTCTGCATACCCGAAAAAAGCCGCTGCCCTTTCCTTGCCCTCAGCGACTTCCAGGCCTTGCCGATTATTTGTGGTACGGCGGTGGAAAATTGGATTGTTCTGCAAATGACCCGCGTGGTAACTCTCTGCGCCTCCGAACTCTTCCAGTTATTGACACAACAAGGCTGTTGGTAGGAAGGCTCTTCTTCTTTTTCTGTTTTTCTGATTTTCGGCAGAGAAGCGTCGAGTAACGGAGGGCTCTCGAGTCAAACGCAGGCATAACTTCCAAACCGATACGCCGAGCCCAAATTCAGCCATCTTTTGAAATTCACACCTCTCTGCATTTTGTTGCTGTGCTCAAAATGTGTGTGAAGACTGGCGTTCTAGAAAGTCGTTTTTTTCCCCCTAAAAACTGTTATTAGTTTTTAGAGAAAAGCTGGTCAAGAAATGGATTGTGTTAGGATAATTGCTAGCAAAAGAAAGAATAGATTAGGCAACATTCCACACCGACACGCAGATGTTCTGCCTTCTTTCCAGGCGAAACGTTTTTATAAGCTCACGGTTCAGGGAGAACCAAATGATACAACTGAAAAACAATAGGAAACCACGAGCAAGGGGAACTGAACCATGTGCCCATCTGTGCCTGCTCACTAGGAACGATTTTATCTGATTTTTCTCTCGTGCCACAGGCTAATAAATTGAGGACCAAAACTTTGAGGAACACGCTAAATCCTACTTGGAACGAAACCCTCACATACTACGGGATCACGGACGAGGACATGATCCGCAAAACGCTCAGGTGAGCAGGAGCGGTGCAGGGGGTGCGTGTGTGTGTCCTTTCCCAGCATCCTTTGGGTCCCGGCCAATTGAAAAGGCTTTGGGTGGCTTTTTTGAGACCTCTCGAAATATTCAGTCTGAGAAGGAGCTGATTGGCCATTTGATCAGTACAGAGTGCCCATCCTGGATGCTGAAACTATCTGGGGATACCACTGATGGGTGTGAGAGACCCCTGCTTTGTCAAGAGCCCCAGAGTTTGTGCATATGGATTTGGACGCGTGGCATTTGGATGTGTTGATGTTGAAACGTGGATTTTCAGTCCAGCGTAAGCGACCACAAACTGCCTCCAGCTCGCCGTCTAGGAACAACTCACTTCTTGTCTTCTTGGGCTGGTCATAATGCACAAGCCACAGTTTGTCAGCGAGGCTGGGTTCGCACAGCGGCAACCGTACTCAGAGCTTTGATGCGGAAGTTGTATGGATTGCAGAGGAGAAGTCTGAATTGCGTGCAAACGGGCTTGGCTTTTTTTCGAAAAAAGATTCTGCAAATGGCAGTCCATTTTAAAAACAGAAGATCACTTGCTGGCTTGGCTTATGTCAGGTTGAGTTGATGCCCGAGTGCTTTTAAACAGTGTGTGTTTTAATTATATGGAAAATCACCTTAATTGTGTTGGCTTTTTGGAATGGAGTCTAATGCATTTTATTGTGGGGATGCTGCTGCTGATACTTGCTATTATTTTTAATTCAAAATGTTGAGGACTAGCAGCTTTATTTGGGGATGCCTTTGTGGGGGCTGCCTTTCCTTAAGTGGTGTGCATTGTACCTCCTCCTCCTCCTCTTCCCAGAATGCCTTTTAGTGCCCCCTTATCTCTCAAGAAACAAATCTTGAAAACATAATGCAAACAAGTGGTTTGGGGCCCCAAAGAGGGGCAAAAAGAACCTGTTTGACTCACCAGAGGCATGGAAAACATTAGTCGACCCAAACCTGCCAGGGGCTTCTTCAGCTGCAGATTTTATGGCCAGGCAGTTCCTCCACGTCCACCACCACCCGGCCTGCTTTTGCCTCGTTTCCCAGGTGCTCCAACCATGAAAATTGCTCGGATGAGTTCGTTGCCTTCTTGCAGAAACAGGTTTTCCGCCGTTTCAGACTTCACCTTCGGAGGGGGGATGGAGACAGACCGGGAACAGAACAAGCAGATTAGAAATGGGGTTGGGTCCGCATGTTTGTGCCATGAAACGGAATTGGGCTGGTTGGGAAAAGCCAGTTCCGTGTAGAACCCACATGCTTATAGAAACCCGAGTTTATTTGAACCCGTTGCCAGTTTCTGCAGTATCTCTGATAGAGGCCAGGTGTGGCTGGACATGCTGATGTGGGACCAGTTGCCTCTTGGCATTTAAGCCACGGAATGGGCAGCTTTAATTGAATCGTCTGGCTACTTCTTTCCCTTCTTATTTAAGATTAGATCTTTTTATTACTAATACTATTTTTCTGGTTTGGCTTTGTCACCTGCTCACCTGCCTCTTCCAAATTTGAGAGAGGTGATAATGAACAGAAAGCTACTGTGTAACTTCTTCGCTTCATCTCTTCAGCACACCAAGAATAAATCTCTCACCGTGTTGGTGTTAATTGACTACAGAAGCTGGCGTCCCGAATTTTCAGAAAGACAGTTCTTGACATATTGGGTCTGAAAGCATATAAAGCAAAAAAACCAAGCCAGCTCTCTGAGCTGGAATAAGTAAAATTGTTCCTGATTTTTCTGGAGTTACACAGGAAGCTTTGAGTGGAAGAAGTGTGCAAAAGCTTTAAAGTCATGCACAGCAATCCATCTGGCAGAATTTGACGGAGGATAGGTTGCCAAGATCGCACAATTGTCCCGAGGAGGCCTGGATGTGGACCAACACGTTGTCCTCCAGGCCTCAGAACAACACACGAGACAAGGTGCTTCTCTCCCACAGCCCTGCGAAAGCAAAAGGGGAAGAACCTGAATGCCTTGTTTATCTTTGTGCAAAATACAACAGGAGAAAAGACAAGGATTATAAGAATTTGGGGAAGGGTCCGCTCAGCGGAAGGTCCGCTGAGCCGACACTTGATGCCCCCAAATTCCTGCGCCTACAAGCGGTCTGCCTGCGGTCTCGTCTCCGAGCATGTTGTCTTTTTTGAAGAGGGTTTTCCGCTCCTTCCCTGCATCCACGATCCAAGCAAAGACAGGCAGGGAGAGAACGAGAGAGAGAGAGAGAGAGAACGAGAGAGAGAGAGAGAGAGAGAGAGAGAGAGAGAGAGAGAGAGAGAGCAGGTCCTCCATTGTCCACGTGCTACATTGGGGTGAGTGGGGAACTGCCGAGCATCCTTCATCTGTTCCCATGGCAACCGCACCTCCAAAAGAGAACCGAAGAGGCAGGAAGCCTTGTAAGAAGCCATCCGCGGCTTAAGTTCTTTGCGGGGCGGCAGCGCAAGGTGTGTGTGTGTCTGCAGACAAACAGACACAACCCCCAGTGTGTTGGTTGCGAGGAGAAGGGATGTTCCCTATTCGGAAGCTCGAGGTTTTGGCCAGGAGCGGGAGAGAGGATAATGGCATGAAACCAGCTGCAGGAGCGCAAGAGCATCCCTGACCCAACCCTGACCTCTCCATCATTCAGTGTAGTGTAGTGTTGTGTAGTGGTTAGTGCTGGACTGGGCAAGCAGGAGCTCCCAGTTATTTATTTAGTGATTAGATTTATATCCCACCTCTTTTCTCACAAAGAACTCGAAGCGGCTGACATCACTCTCCTCCTGTTCTCCATCTTATCCCCACAACAACAACCCTGTGAGGAAGGCCTGGCTGAGAGTCTCAAGGTGGTGGTTGTTGTCAGGATAAGATTGAGAGGAGGAGAATTGCATAAGCTGCCTCAAGTTCCTTGAAAAGGGAAAAACCGGGATATAAATATAATGAATAAACGTTTCTGGTGGCTTTGCAACCCACACGGGGAGAGGCGTCGTTCGTGCCAAAGAGCGGCAGAACCTTCCACTCCGAGGGCCAAATTCCACTTCAGCAAAGCCCTCAGGGGGTGCATCTGAGGAGCAGGTGTAGCCGAAGGCAAACAATTCCCATCGGCCCCAGCCAGGGCAACCAACGGTTCGCATTTCAGGGAAAGGCCACTTTGGAGAAAGCTTCCCTTGTTCCTTTGAATTCCTCTTGGGATGCGGAGAATTCATCGGCACGTCGCACGTTCCTCCCCGTCGCTCTTCCCATTCCAGCGACTTTCCTTCGCGGCAGGAGGGGGGAAATTTCGCAGGATCGGGTGTCCTGTCGGTGCCACTTCGTTCTTGCTGAAAGATGCGCTCCCGCTTTTCGCAAGTCTGCCACGAGGTGAAAAGCCGAGCCCTCCAGTGGGGGTTTGGGGGCTGGGGGTGCTACATGAGTGCGGAGACATTGCTTTAAATACCTCGCATTCCCACATGGCTCATTCACAGGGCTGGGTGCAACTTGTCTCGCTTTTTGGGAGCTGTTCTGCGGAGGTTTTTGTAGGGCAGGGTGACCTCATTTTCCAATCGCTTTGCATGTGATCTTTGCACCCTTGGCCGCGGGGACAGTTGGCAGCCCCCCAGTTGGGGAAAAAGGGGGAGAGAGGGAGAAAACAGGAGAAACGGAGAGAGGGATGGAGGGAAGCAGCGGAAAGCCGAAATGTGTCCACTTGCAGCTGAATTGAGAGGAAAGGGCCTGAGTTGTCCGTGAACTCCAGCTTGTTGTTGAAACACGGGTTGTTGTATTGTCTGAACCCGGCCAAGATAATAAACCATGGTGAACAACCCATAGTTCACAACCCAACAGCAAACCACGGCTTGCTTCTTTTCAGGTTTGTTCCTGGCTGATAAGCCATGGGTGGCTGCATTCAGACAGCGCAGTAACCCAGACTTCAGCCAGAAGCTGCACGTCAGCAACAGCCCACACACAACCCTGCAGTGTAGGCCGTTGCTCTGTCTGAACCTCGTCACTGAGGGGCTGTTCTGAACCATCAAGGGGACCCTATATCTGGGGAGCTAATACTGGCCCCTGGGTCCTGGATCAAGCCTTCCGGGTTCCCTTCTCCTAACTGACCCCTTTCCCTGGACCCCCGGGTGCCACTTCCGGTTCAGAAGACAGGAATACCTCCGGGCAGCAAACCCTTTCAGCCCATTCCCTGGCTTATCTTGTAGCTTTCCCTGCACTGCTCCTGCTGTTGGCCCTTTCCCTTAGGCCCCACCCCTTTCCCTTAGGCCCCACCCACCCATGGACCACAGCCCCCGGGGGCTTCTCTAGCGCCAAATTCGGCCCTCGGGCTGCAAGACCCTCTGCACCCCTGCAGGATGGGCTCTCATCCAACCCTCCGCGACGCCCCCCCTAATTCCGCGTCGCTCTTTGGGGCTTCCCTTGCGGGGGGGGGGCTCTCCCAAGGGGCGGAGGGAGTCCGTGCCAAAGAGCTGCATTCTAGCTAGCCAGTGCCTCTGAAACAAGCCGCCTCCTCCCCCCGCAAGCAAATAATGTATTATTCACAAGACTGCGGCATTCAGCCAATAATTATTTTGTTTGCTGATGTATTTCGGCCAAAAAGAAGTCGCGGGGAGGGGGAGACGGCCGCCCTTGTGGCACCAGCCGCCTGCGGCCGTCTCCAATGGAGACCGCACGAGCAGGTCGCCGCTTCCAGCTGCGAGAGGTCGCATGCAGACCACACGCCCAGGGCTTGGACGGCGGCGGCGGGGCTGGCTGGGGGATTCTGGCGCGGTGCTCCTTCGGAGGCAAACACAGGGGGACTCGGGGCCGTTTCTGCGGGGGCTGGCAGCAAGGCCGGCGTTTCGCCCGGCACTGGCCACGGGCCCCAGCTCCGCTTCCCCTCGCAGCCTGCCCTTTGCCTGCCTGCCCTCTGCCCCAAGGAATAGTGGTCCCGAGAGGGGGAGCAACAGAACCCCGAGATCGCCTGGGATGTCCGGTGCCAGCCCGCCCAGCCGGTGAGCAAAGCTGGGCACGAGAGCAGCTGGTGAAAACGGCCCTGAGAAGGGGACTCTCCG